CAAATTTCTTCTGGGGAACTAAAAATGGTAAATACAAGCATCACTGGGCTAAATGGACCACTTTATGCAAACCCACTGGTGAGGGAGGGATAGGTACCAGAAGCTTATTTGACATTCAAAAAGCCTCAGCCTTGAAGCTTTGGTGGAAGTCAGTTACAGAGCAATCTATTTGGGCCTCCTTTATGAGGGGCAAGTACTATAGGGATGGTCTTTTCGAAGCCAAATTATATGACTCTTCCTCCTGGAAGAGAATTTGCAGAATTTCTCACATAGGTCTCCAGAATACTACCCTGTCCAATCACACCTACAGTTGGATCAATGGAGAATTCTCCTTCAAAGAGGCTTACTGGGCAGTAAGGGAAAGAAATATCAGTGAGCAGCTTTTCACCCTTAACTGGAACAAATTTCAGATTCCTAAGGTTAAGCTTTTCACTTGGAAAGCTTTGAACCATTTTCTCCCTTTTCCCAATATTCTCAACAAACTGAATTTTAACCTGCCTAGTAAGTGCTTATTATGTGGCAAGGCTGAAGCTACGGATATACACACGCTACTTACATGTGAGATGGCACAAAGCATCTGGAAAGCCTTTGCAGACTACATCGGAGGACCAGTTTGGAATCAAGAAACAGAGCTAAGGGATTACCTTGTACAATGGTGGGTCACTTTTAAAAAAACATCTCTCCGTGGTCTACTCAAGCTAATCCTTCTTGGATGTATACTATGGATCTTATGGAAGACTTACAATAGATGCATTTATGAGGATCACAAACCAACAAAGGTGGGGATTATCATTGAAATCCAAAAACTAATTCAACACTGGTTTTGGTCGAACAAAAAAGCTCAGGCCATTGCTATTAAGGAAGAGATTGAAGCTAATGTAAAATTTTTTTTATAATATAATAATATTTAATATTATCAATACTCTATTCGCATGTATCAATTTCCAAAAAAAAGAAAGGGAATTCTAATCCTAATTGGAAAAGAAAACAAAGAGTATAAGTTGGATGGATTATCTAATCGCTCCACCCTGAGTCTTCTTCTTCCTTCTTCGTCCGAGTACGCCAGCCACCTCAGAGGGAGGTTTGCCGGAAGTGCCTTGCTGGAATTCTACACCGATTAACCCGTATTCAAGGTGAGTGAATTATCTCCCGTTAGAATTGATTCGTAGATTAGTATTCCTTGATGTATTCTTGTGCAATTGATGTTGAATTTGTGGCTATGATTATTGAATTGTTTGATTGGATTGTGTTGGGACGTAAATCGAATTTGGATAGTTTTGAATGGTCCATGTTTATCTTCCTCGTCTGCTCTGCTCTCGGTCTTCTTTGATCTGTTTCTTTTGTCTACTCTGCTCGATTGTCTACTCACTACAACTTGTGCTAGGGATTGACGCCGCCGGAACTATTCCCTGCCGCCATGGGCGGATCTACCTTAAGCCATATGGGGGCAACTGCCCCCAGTCAAAAAAAATTCTTTTACTTTTTTTTATTTTATGTATGGCTGCCCCCAACAAAAAACAAAGAATGCCCCCAGTGACCACTAATTAACCCATTAAATAAAGTATTTGTAACTCTAGTGATATTAAATATTTGGACCATGCTAGGGTGCCACCACATTTGTGCTACCATGGGTGCATCCATGCTTCGCACAGACAAACATAGACGATAATTGTGTGTGCGACACAGACAATTATATTCTGTGTTTGTCTGTGCGAAGCATGGGTGCACCCATGTGGTGGCACCCTAGCATTTTCCTAAATATTTTCGTACAACATACTCCGTAATTCATTTAGTATTACTCCCTCCGTCCCAATATATAGTGCATGTTCACTATTCACAAGGTCAAACTTTATTCACCTTCTTTCTCTATTTTCGTTAGCAATTTGATAAAATAAAGTAATGTTGTCACTACTAATTTTGTAGATCTTTTGATGTACTCCCTCTATCCACCATAGGTCTTCTCAATAGCCCTTTTTCTTTGTCCACAATAGATCTTCTCATTTCATTTTTTAACAAGTAAAATACCACAACTACCCCACTTACTTTATTTATTACACCTCACCCACCTCATTTAATATACTCCACCCATTTTTCATTAAGGGTATTATGGTAAACTTTCACCTTTTTTCAACTCTCCTTAAAAACCACCAAAAGTCAAAATGAGAACATCTTAGGCGGACGGAGGGAGTAGTATTTTGATATGTAATTTTTATTTTTAACTCTATACCATTTGTCATATAAAAAATGATTTGAAAATAATTTCAGTCAAACATTGTAAACTGAAACATGCACTATAAATTGGGACGGATGGAGTATAATTTTACTAATTTTAAAATATTTTGTTTTTCATCATGATATAAAGTACATTTAAAAGAAATCGGGGGCAAAGCCCCCGATCCCCCGCTTTGCTATACTACCCCAGTCATTCACAATCCTGGCTCCGGCAGGCTGCCGCTACGTGGGTCGCTGGCCGCGCGCAGGTTCCCGCCTAGTTTTGCCGACTTGCGCTGTTCACCTGGCCTAGTCGCAAGGAGGATATTGCTTATTTAATTGTTCCAATTGGGGAACATGTAGTTCCTGATATTCCAATTTAACCCCATGCACCTGAAATCCCTTACAATTAGGCCCTTTTCTATATTGTGCTTCTAAAATATGAATAAAAACTACAAATTAATCTAATGCATTGTTTAAACTAATGAATTGTGTAAGGATAATTATGTGATTAAATTGGATTATGGAAATAACCCACCTGGTATATCTAGGAAGGTGTGAGTTAAACTGAATTAATAAGGATTAGGATTTAGGATTTAGGCCTGGTGGGGAGAGCTTCACATAACTCACGGGTCTTGGGTTAAAAACGTACGTACGGGAGTCATTAGCCTACCTAGGGGTTCCTTTGTATGGGCTCCAACCAGCCCATTAAGGATTCTCTTTGGGTTTCATCAAGCGTGGCCTCGGGGGATCCGTCCGAGTGTCCATGTCTTAGTTAGTCAAAAGGAAACCTTAGCCTACAGGGTTACATGTAGATGAACAACAAGAACTGAATATAAATAATTAGTTGATCATGATATTCGATAATGATATTTGCTGATTAATCTGATATTGTACGATTATATGTTAATGGGTGCTAGTCTATGAGTTAGTTCTAACGTTAGATACTTCCGTTCTCCTTATTTTTACAGGTAGGGATCAGGGATTGGATGAGGAGCAGCCGGGAGGATAGTGAAGCGTGACGCTGGTGGATGGCCCGATGCTGTTTTTTTAAATTAAATATAGTTTGTGGGATATGTTTACTTAAATTACTAGAATGTTGAATGTTGTTTTAAAGGCTTCCGCAACGTTTGTTTTAGTTACTCCGATTAAATGATGAATTGTTTTTCAATGAATATGAATATTTAGTTTCTTTTTAAATGTTTTTAAAATGTTATACATGTTAATACCAAATTAGTAGCAACCCGACTCGCTAACTTTTTGATTCGGCGGGTTACACGGGTTGGTTTTAGGTGGGTGTTGGGCACAAGGATATTATGGCTATGTTGTGGGTTTTAAAGCGGATAAGTTCGGTCCAAAAGGGATCATAAAACTTTGCCATTATTCCGTTAATTTTCTTATTGAATTTGGAGTCGTTTGTAGTAACTTGGGGTGCATCATGGCGCCTAGCACCGTGGTGTAAGCGGACACGATGTGTGAAGCCGAGGTTGCAGCGCGAGCAAGGACACACGGTGTCGTTTATTATAGCGCCTCGTCGCGTCGCGTTTCAATTTTTTTAAATTTTAACTATATAAATTCATTAATTCTCTAATTTAATTCATCCCAAATTCAATCTCATCTCCTGTGGTGCTGATCGTTCATCTCGAACATCAAGTTTGTATGCATAATACTAGGGGTGCGCACAGGCTGGTCCAAGCCATAATTTGTATAAACCGGACTCGGCTTATTTTTATTAAAATGATCCGGGCTGGAAAGGGTTTTCAAAATTTTAAAATTGAAACCAGACCTAACCCGGCTGTTTGAAATGGGCCGATTCCACGAGTCAACGGGTTCGAACCTATCATGATACTAATATTAAAAAATTAAAGGGATAATAAATTAATTTAAATAATCCAACACAAAAAAAGGCGTTAATGAAGACAAAACAATGACAAAGAGGGGCATGAGAGTAAAGTGTACACCCCATGATCATCCAACAACAACAAAAAAAGAAGACAACCACATCTTGACATTATAATGTCAATAGGTTCCAAAAAGAAGAAAATTCACAATCTTCATGGCTTCGGAAAAATCCAAAAAACCTGCAAAAAACAAAATTTTAAAATCAACCATATTCCACGC